TGTCGTTCCAGACTTTCCACCCTTGCTAAAGCTTCATTGAGTCTGGCCTTAAGAGAGGTAGGGGAAGCAGGCAAGGCATATTCATGATCCTAGTAGAAAGAGGGATGAACACACACCAGTTTGACACCACTAGAGTATATGACCCACATTATTTCTTATAGTTATCATCTTTCAAAGCTGATATTGTCATTTTTTAATACTCACTTGATTTGGCTGTGGTTGTGAGGTTTCAGCTTTTGGGGCCTCCTGAAAGGAGGTAGACGTAGTCCTGCCCTTTTCTGGCTAAAATGGAGAAACATAGTACTTGAAAAGAAATTATATATATATTTGTAATATGTTATTATAACTTATATATTATATAATAGAAAAGAATATATTAGTACTGACAGCCTAAACCTACTCTTTGGAGATGAACCGGGAAGCTGAAGATGGATGGAACAACACCATCTCTGAGTCAGATAATCTGACCTGTCCTGTCCAAATCTTCCTGCTTAAAATGCTCACTGCAAAGCACGGATGAATCACTTGCAGTGAATCCTTCCCTCCTCATAGCCACTTCCCACTTCTTCCTACCATTTCTGTCTCTGGGAAACCTTCAAAATGCAAATATATGAATAAAACAACAACAACAAAAAATATATTACCATAATTCCTATTATTCCTAATTACTTCTTCCCATTTTCCTCCTTCAAATATAGAACATCTCTTCAACAAAACTCGCATTTTGATAATGAACCAAAGCTGCTGTAAGTTAGCTTGTTTGCTATTCAATAGATGTTCTGTATCTGATTTCGTTGGTGACATAAATACAATTCAGTAATATTCCATTAACAAACTAGTACAATCAATAATAATGTTAAATCTTACTTGTGAAAAGTAATCCCACGAGCCCTGTTTTGAATAGTCCGCCTATTTTGACAGCCATACGCCGCAGTGTTCAGGCATCGCGCTGTAGGATGACCGGTCCAAGATGGCGGCCGTATTTCTCGTGCCCGAGCAACCAATGCGGCGTCTATTCTATATATGGCTATGCTTTTCATGGCCAACTCCTATGAACGGCGGAGATAGGCGTGACTCTGTCCATTAATATATATAGTCTATGGGTACAACCAGGCCAAGTTAGTCATGCTTGTGGTACCATTAGCGACGCTTCAATTTGACTCTAGTCGATTCTTTTGTTCTATTCTGTCAGTATGAAATATAAATATTAAAAATATATATTAAACTAAAAAAGTGCAAAACAGCTCTAGTTTCGATCCTTGTTCAGTAAAGCGCTGACGCCATCTGCTGGACAGAGTGTTGCAATAAAATAAAATACAAATAACCAACCAGTCACAACTTTGTTTTATGACTTTTTATTAACAGAACATTGAAAAAGTCACATTAAATATTAATTATTTAATTAAAACAAATATAAAAGAAAACAGTTTGCAGCAGTCACTGTTCAACCGCAGAAAACAGTCAAAAACAAGAAGAAACAATAACAAACCAGGAACAGTCTTAACCCAAACGATTGGAACAGTCCAGACCTCCTCCTCCTTTCTCTCTTCTTCTCCTCCCTCTTCAGGCCAGCTCCTCCTCCCCCTCCTCATCAAACTCTCCCTCCTCCTCAGCAGTAGCGTCTTGGTACTGCTGGTACTCGGACACCAGGTCGTTCATGTTGCTCTCCGCTTCGGTGAATTCCATCTCGTCCATCCCTTCCCCCGTGTACCAGTGGAGGAAAGCCTTTCTGCGGAACATGGCGGTGAACTGTTCTGAGATGCGTTTGAACAGTTCCTGGATGGCCGTGTTGTTTCCGATGAAGGTGGCCGACATCTTCAGACCTCGAGGAGGAATGTCGCACACCGCCGTCTTCACGTTGTTGGGGATCCACTCCACAAAGTAGCTGCTGTTTTTGTTCTGAATGTTCAGCATCTGTTCGTCCACCTCCTTCATGGACATGCGCCCTCTGAAGATGGCCGCCACCGTCAAGTAGCGCCCGTGACGCGGGTCGCACGCCGCCATCATGTTCTTGGAGTCAAACATCTGCTGCGTCAGCTCGGGGACCGTCAGGGCCCTGTACTGCTGGCTCCCCCTGCTGGTCAGAGGAGCGAAGCCGGGCATGAAGAAGTGAAGCCGCGGGAAGGGCACCATGTTCACCGCTAGCTTGCGCAGGTCCGCGTTCAGCTGGCCGGGGAAGCGCAGGCAGGTGGTCACTCCGCTCATGGTGGCCGACACCAGGTGGTTCAGGTCGCCGTACGTGGGCGTGGTCAGCTTCAGCGTCCGGAAGCAGATGTCGTACAGAGCCTCGTTGTCGATGCAGAAGGTCTCGTCTGTGTTCTCCACCAGCTGGTGCATTGACAGAGTGGCGTTGTACGGCTCCACCACCGTGTCCGACACTTTGGGAGAAGGCACCACGCTGAACGTGTTCATGATGCGGTCAGGGTATTCTTCGCGGATCTTGCTGATGAGCAGAGTGCCCATACCCGAGCCTGTGCCTCCGCCCAGGGAGTGAATGAGCTGGAAACCCTGCAGACAGTCGCAGCTCTCCGCCTCCTTACGGACCACGTCCAGAACCGAATCCGACAGCTCCGCTCCCTCCGTGTAGTGGCCCTTGGCCCAATTGTTTCCCGCTCCGCTTTGACCTGGAATTATACCCACTGCTTTACAGCTGCACGCGCCACATTGGACCATTCAAATGCTTCACACCTCTCTTACCAAACACAAAGTTGTCAGGCCTGAACACTTGGCCAAACGGCCCAGACCTCACAGAGTCCATAGTCCCAGGCTCCAGATCCACCAGTATAGCACGAGGTACATATTTGCCCCCTGTGGACACATCAGGCATTACATCACAGCGCTTCAAATGCAGGATGGGACTCTACATTCTTGGCATTTCGCTCCCAGGTGGGTTTACCTTATCTAAACTGTTCCTAATTCCATGTCCCTGTAGGGAAATATGCGTCTGCATTTGACCCTGAATACTACTAGTATCTGTCAGGAGCAGTGGGTACCACAGTGACGAAATGCCTACATTTTAGTGAGTCCTAATATATTATACTAATTTGGTTCAGACTTTACCAGTGGCTTCGTTGTAGTAGACGTTGATCCTGTCCAGCTGCAGGTCACTGTCGCCATTGTAAGACCCAGTGGCATCAATGCCGTGCTCGTCACTGATCACCTCCCAGAACTAAAAAACAAACAAACAGACAAAAAAAACAATAAATATCTGTTCAAACTGTGCACGCGCTTTTACTGTGACAGCAGGAGCGCGCGGCCGCTTTGGCGCTCAAACCCGAGCAGTAGAAAAACCTCGACGTTTATTACAGTAAAATAACCCAGAAAACTGTTTTAAACCATCGCTAAATATGTAATCCGATTATCACACCGTCCATAAGGTTCAGATGGTGACGATATATGACGGTATTTGAGGAAACGTTAACAGAAGCAAAGGGGCGCGAGACAGCCGTTATTCAAAAACTCGATATTATAAAACAGCTAACAGCTAAACATCTACAGAAAAGGACATTTTCCGACACCATTTAAGCTCATTAACTTTGTATTTGGCTCCAGATAATAGTCTGGATAAGACGTTATGGCACAAAAGGGCCACAGAAACAAATTCAAATAATAACTTAGAAAAAATACTATGAATAAATGGTTACCGACCTTGGCACCGATCTGGTTGCCACACTGGCCTGCCTGGATATGGACGATTTCCCTCATTTTGTTTGGAGAAAGAAATTAAACCAGATGAAAATAATGTGTGCTTGGATTTCAAGGTAAGCGCAAGAGTCAAGACAGAGGCTGTGCAGGGTTTTTATAAAGCACTAAAGGTCAATCTCTCTCTGGTCTCTCTCTCTGGTCTCTCTCAGGTCTCTCTCAGGTCTCTCTCTGGTCTCTCTCTGGTCTCTCTCTGGTCTCTCTCTCTGGTCTCTCTCTCTGGTCTCTCTCAGGTCTCTCTCTGGTCTCTCTCTCTGGTCTCTCTCTCTGGTCTCTCTCTCTGGTCTCTCTCTCTGGTCTCTCTCAGGTCTCTCTCTGGTCTCTCTCTGGTCTCTCTCTGGTCTCTCTCTCTGGTCTCTCTCTCTGGTCTCTCTCTCTGGTCTCTCTCTCTGGTCTCTCTCAGGGCTCTCTCAGGGCTCTCTCTGGTCTCTCTCTGGTCTCTCTCTGGTCTCTCTCTCTGGTCTCTCTCTCTGGTCTCTCTCAGGTCTCTCTCAGGTCTCTCTCTGGTCTCTCTCTGGTCTCTCTCTCTGGTCTCTCTCTCTGGTCTCTCTCTCTGGTCTCTCTCTCTGGTCTCTCTCTGGTCTCTCTCTGGTCTCTCTCTGGTCTCTCTCAGGTCTCTCTCTGGTCTCTCTCTGGTCTCTCTCTCTGGTCTCTCTCTCTGGTCTCTCTCTCTGGTCTCTCTCTCTGGTCTCTCTCTCTGGTCTCTCTCTGGTCTCTCTCTGGTCTCTCTCTGGTCTCTCTCTGGTCTCTCTCAGGTCTCTCTCTGGTCTCTCTCTGGTCTCTCTCTGGTCTCTCTCTGGTCTCTCTCTGGTCTCTCTCTCTGGTCTCTCTCTGGTCTCTCTCTGGTCTCTCTCTGGTCTCTCTCTGGTCTCTCTCTGGTCTCTCTCTGGTCTCTCTCTGGTCTCTCTCAGGTCTCTCTCTGGTCTCTCTCTGGTCTCTCTCTGGTCTCTCTCTGGTCTCTCTCTGGTCTCTCTCAGGGCTCTCTCTGGTCTCTCTCTGGTCTCTCTCTGGTCTCGACCAAATTTCAAACTCACCTTGTAGCAACGGTTTCTCCAGTTCCACAGCCAGATCCTGCACTTCCTCCTCTGGTTCCTCCTCTGGTTCCTTCTCTGGTTCCTCCTCTGGTTCCTCCTCTGGTTCTGCTCTCATGCCTCCTGTGTCCTCCTCCAGGTCCTGAGCAATGACCTCCATGGCGCCCCCAGCTGGAGCACCGGTGGAAGTAACCGGTGGAGATGTGGTCAAGTCCGAGCTCTCCACAAAGTCCCACAGGCCTGGATCTACAGATGGTTCAGGAGGATCTAGAGGAGCTCCAGGAGGTGTGTGTGGAGGCGCAGGAGAACCTGGCACTGAGAATGCTTCAGGAGCAAAGGAGTGGATTGTCTCTGTAGGAGAAGGGGGAGCAGAGACGTCAAGGACCTCCTTTGATGCTGGAGGAGCAGAGACATGGGGGACCTCCTCTGGTGATGGAGGAGCAGAGACGTGAGGGACCTCCTCTGGTGCTGGAGGAGCAGAGACATGGGGGACCTCCTCTGGTGATGGAGGAGCAGAGACGTGAGGGACCTCCTCTGGTGCTGGAGGAGCAGAGACATGGGGGACATCCTCTGGTACTGGAGGAGCAGAGACATGGGGGACCTCCTCTGGTGCTGGAGGAGCAGAGACGTGGGGGACCTCCTCTGGTACTGGAGGAGCAGAGACATGGGGGACCTCCTCTGGTACTGGAGGAGCAGAGACATGGGGGACCTCCTCTGGTACTGGAGGAGCAGAGACATGGGGGACCTCCTCTGGTACTGAAGGAGCAGAGACATGGGGGACCTCCTCTGGTACTGGAGGAGCAGAGACGTGGGGGACCTCCTCTGGTACTGGAGGAGCAGAGACATGGGGGACCTCCTCTGGTACTGGAGGAGCAGAGACATGGGGGACCTCCTCTGGTACTGGAGGAGCAGAGACATGGGGGACCTCCTCTGGTACTGGAGGAGCAGAGACATGGGGGACCTCCTCTGGTGATGGAGGAGCAGAGACGTGGGGGACCTCCTCTGGTGATGGAGGAGCAGAGACATGGGGGACCTCCTCTGGTACTGGAGGAGCAGAGACATGGGGGACCTCCTCTGGTACTGGAGGAGCAGAGACATGGGGGACCTCCTCTGGTACTGGAGGAGCAGAGACATGGGGGACCTCCTCTGGTACTGGAGGAGCAGAGACATGGGGGACCTCCTCTGGTACTGGAGGAGCAGAGACATGGGGGACCTCCTCTGGTACTGGAGGAGCAGAGACATGGGGGACCTCCTCTGGTACTGGAGGAGCAGAGACATGGGGGACCTCCTCTGGTACTGGAGGAGCAGAGACATGGGGGACCTCCTCTGGTACTGGAGGAGCAGAGACATGGGGGACCTCCTCTGGTACTGGAGGAGCAGAGACATGGGGGACCTCCTCTGGTACTGGAGGAGCAGAGACATGGGGGACCTCCTCTGGTGATGGAGGAGCAGAGACGTGGACCTCCTTCAGTACTGGAGGAGCAGAGACGTGGGGGACCTCCTCTGCTACTGGAGGAGCAGAGACGTGGAGGACCTCCTCTGGACCTGGAGGAGCAGAGACGTGGAGGACCGCTGGAGCAGCTGCTGCCACAAGAACACATGAAGAAGAACAATCTCAGACACAATTTAGTTCAGTGCTAGGTCCTCCTCACACCATAGGAGGACTACAGGAGGAGCACTGGTCTCCTTGGCCTCCTCTGTCTCCTCTCATCTCCCCTGTCTTCTGTCTCCCCTCTCCTCTCCTTGGTCTCCTCTCCTTCCCTCTCCTTGGTCTCCTCCACTCCCCTCCCCTCCCCTCCCCTCCCCTCTCCTCTCCTTGGTCCTCTCTCTCCACTCGTCTCCTGTCCTCTTCTTTTTCCTTTCTCTCCTCTCTCTCCTATGTCTCCTCTCTCCTCTGTCTCCTCTCTCCTCTCTCTCCTATGTCTCCTCTCTCCTCTGTCTCCTCTCTCCTCTCTCTCCTATGTCTCCTCTCGCCTCTGTCTCCTCTCTCCTCTGTCTCCTCTCTCCTCTGTCTCCTCTCTCCTCTTTCTCCTCTCCTCTGTCTCCTCTGTTCTTCTCTTGAAAGCCCTGTGCTCATTTGCATGTTCTGCATATTCAGATCAGGTTCCGTCAGCGCTCTGAGGTGAAGAGTTTAAAGTGAGGGTCAAACTCAGACGAGAAACGTGTCAGGACCAATAATCACTCATGTTTAAGAACAGAGGAGAGAGGAGGAGAGAGGAAGGGGAGAGGAGGGGAGAGGAGGAGAGAGAGGAGGAGAGAGGAGGAGAGAGGAGGGGAGAGGAGGGGAGAGGAGGGGAGAGGAGGGGAGAGGAGGGGAGAGGAGGGGAGAGGAGGAGAGAGGAAGGGGAGAGGAGGAGAGAGGAAGGGGAGAGGAGGGGAGAGGAGGAGGAGAGAGGAGGGGAGAGGAGAGGAGGGAAGGAGAGAGGAGGGGAGAGGAGTAGAGAGGGGGGGGGAGAGAGAGAGGGGGGGAGAGGAGTAGAGAGGGGGGGAGGGGAGAGGAGTAGAGAGGGGGGGAGGGGAGAGGAGTAGAGAGGGGGGAGGGGAGGGGAGGAGAGAAGAGGGGAAGGAGAGAGGAGGAGGGGAGTAGGAAGAGAGGGGAGAGGAAGGAGATGTGAGATGTCACATCTTTAGATCAAAGAGAGGACAACCCTCACTCAGCCAATCAGCTCTCAGCCCAAAGAGGCAGATTTTGACTCACAGGGATCTTTCTTACCACAGAAGATAACATGTGTTCTAAAAAGATTCTGGTGGGCTTCTATTGGTTAGAATGAAAACCTGCAGCCACACCTGCCCTTTGAGGACCGGTTTGGACTGGAACACAAACTCACCAGTTGTTTCCATAGGGCTCTCATGTCCTCGCTCCTCTTCTTCTTCTGTCTCCTCCATCGTCAGCACATTCATCTCCTCAAACTCCTCCACCCTATTCCCTCTGAACACAGTCCCCTCACGGCCATCCAGAGGTCTGCGGATCTTTATGGACTCAGAGACCGGCTCCAGTCCAGGACTAGTGTCCTCTGATCCCGTCTCCACTGGTCCTGTCTCTTCTGGTCCAGTCTCCTCTGGTCCAGTCTCCTCTGGTCCAGTCTCCTGTGGACCAGTCTCCTCTGGTCTGGTCTCCTCTGGTCCAGTCTCCTGTGGACCAGTCTCCTCTGGTCCAGTCTGCTGTGGACCAGTCGCCTCTGGTCTAGTCTCCTCTGGTCCAGTCTCCTCTGGTCCAGTCTCCTCTGGTCCAGTCTCCTCTGGTCCAGTCTTCTCTGGTCCAGTCTCCTCTGGTCCAGTCTCCTCTGGTCCAGTCTCCTCTGGTCCAGTGTCCTGGACTACAACTCTGTCTTCCATTTTGTCTCCTTCCTTCTGGTCCTCCGTGACATCATCCTCATATTTTGGCTCCTCCTCTAGCGGCGGTAAAATGACCAGTTCATTTTCTTTGTGGACTAAAACAGCTGGAGTGGTGTGGACTACAAATGTGTCCTCCTCTGTCTCTGGCCTTCCGGCAGTTTCCTCTTCTTTTGGACTGTCTGTTTGGACAACTCTTTCTCCAGGCGTTGGAAAGACTACAAACATGTCTTCTGTCATTGGTTTTGTCTCTTTGAGCTCTGGCCCTTCAGTTTGCACTACAGTTTCTTCATCTTCTGGTGATGGAAGGACTACAAAAATGTCCTCTGCTGTTGTCTGTGGCTCTGTTAGTTTTGGGCTATCTATTTCTCTGATCTTTGGTTCCTCCTCTTTTGAGCTGACAACCTTCTCATCAGACTCAGCTTCTATCTCCAATACCATTTCTTTCTCGACTTCCATTGGCACTACCTCGTCTTCCAGTTTTGTGGTGAACGGCGTTGCTTCTTCCACCTCTCCCTTTGCTTCCTGTCTCACCTCGTCTTCCAAATCCGCTCCCATTTTCCCGTACGGATGAATCCAATCCACACTTTCAATTTCTTGCCTCAGATTTTCATCTTGAGACACGGCTTCTCCGACTACAACAGTTCCATCTCCTCGCTCACTGTCAGCAGGTTCTGGAGCTCCTTCTGAAGTCTCTGGATCAGGCTCAGGCAAATCTGTCCGTACGACCACCTCTTGAGGAGCTGCTATGTCCCCGGTTCCACCCAGATGTTTAGAATCCATCGCTGTTTCAGTCTTCAGGTCTTTGTTGAAAAGCTCAGGTTCCCTCAGCACTTCCACTCCTCTGGAACCCTCTTCTAAGTTCCTCTGGATCTCCCCCTCCTCTGGAATGGCATTCTCCTGATCATCTGGAGGTGGCTGCGTTGCCGGTTGTCCGGTGATGTCTGGGAGTGTAGTGACCTCCTCTGGGGGTGTGGTGACCTCCTCTGGGGGTGTGGTGACCTCCTCTGGGAGAGTGGTGACCTCCTCTGGGGGTGTGGTGACCTCCTCTGGGGATGTGACCTTGTCGGTGGTGGGAGGTCTGTAGGAGCTGTCTGAGCCTGGATCTTCTGGGAGCTCATTGGGAGAGATGGTTGTGTGTGTGGTCTGGTCTTCAGCCTCAGGAGAAGGTCCTGGGCTGTGGAGAAGGGGCCTGGAGGTCTCCACTGAGGTCTCCACTGAGGTCTCCACAGAGGTCATGGGGCTGGGGACCAGCAGAGAGACCACAGCTTTCTCCTCCTCCAGCGGCATCAGAGGAGGCCTCTCCACTTCCGTCTCCTGCTGCACCTCCTCCACCTCCTGCACCACTTTTAACTTGTGTGAGTCTGGTTCAGTCGGCTGAAGACACAAGAGGAAAATATCAGAAACATCTCAAAATGCCTGTCCTGTTCTGGTTCATCAGAGCCAAAATGCCTGTCCTGTTCTGGTTCATCAGAGCCAAAATGCCTGTCCTGTTCTGGTTCATCAGAGCCAAAATGTCTGTCCTGTTCTGGTTCATCAGAGCCAAAATGTCTGTCCTGTTCTGGTTCATCAGAGCCAAAATGTCTGTCCTGTTCTGGGCGGCACGGTGGCTGAGTGGATAGCACTCTCGCTTCTCAGCAAGAAGGTCCTGGGTTCGAATCCCGGTCGGACCAGGGCCTTTCTGAGTGGAGTTTGCATGTTCTCCCCGTGTCTGCGTAGGTTTCCTCCGGGTACTCCGGTTTCCCCTACCACTAAAAATATGTCCAATAGTTCTGGCATGCGCCTCCTGTACTGGCGACCCCGCTCCCATCTCTGTGTGGAGTGAGAGACAAATGCCCAAAAATTAACAATTGTAAACCGCTTTGAGACTCAGATCTGCAGTGAAAAGGCGGTATATAAATAAAGATTACTACTACTACTTACTACTGTTCTGGTTCATCAGAGCCAAAATGTCTGTCCTGTTCTGGTTCATCAGAGCCAAAATGTCTGTCCTGTTCTGGTTCATCAGAGGCAAAATGTCTCACTCAGGAAATATATATGTGAAATAATGAGAGCTCACCTGGGGCACAGGCGACACAAGCACCGCTGAAACGACAAGAGAACACATCACCCAGTCTTCTCTGCACAACATCAGACTTATACACAAACATGCAGTACAAGGCTCTGTAGTAGTAGAAGTAGCATTAGTAGTAGTAGTGGTAGTAGTTTGGTACCTGGACTGAAACTGAGTGAGGTCAGGTCTAGAGGCAGCAGTGACTCGTCTCTGAGTCTGGTCCGGATCAGGTCTTGTAGATCTGGGTCTGAAGTCCGGGCCAAGACCAGGTCTGGGGTCCTCAACAGGAGCGAGAACTGTACCGAGATCCCACTATGGATGGTTCTGAAAGCAGAGTGACAAAGTAAGGTTCCTGAACCCAATCTGGACCAGTGGACCTGGTCCCAGACCACTCTGTGGTCTTGGTCTCAGACTTGGGTCTTGGTCTGAGAGTGGGGTCTGGGTCTCAGATTTGGGTCTTGATCTCCGACTTGGGTTTAGGTCTGGGTCTCTGGGGACTAGGGACAGAGGGTGTACTGACCTGATGTCCATCACAGACAGAGACCTGAAGCTCGGGAGAGAGACGAAGGCGCTCTGCATCTGCAACCACAAGAGGTTCTCAGGTTCTCAGTCTGAGGTTCTCAGTCTGAGGTTCTCAGTCTGAGGTTCTCAGTCTGAGGTTCTCAGGCTGAGGTTCGCAGGCTGAGGTTCTCAGGCTGAGGTTCTCAGGCTGAGGTTCTCAGGCTGAGGTTCTCAGGCTGAGGTTCTCAGGCTGAGGTTCTCAGTCTGAGGTTCTCAGGCGGAGGTTCTCAGGCTGAGGTTCTCAGGCGGAGGTTCTCAGGCTGAGGTCCTGGGACAGGAGAAGCTGGTGTTACCTGTTCCTGTAGATGTTTGCTCAGGTCGTGCAGTGAGTCCTGTTCCTCCAGCAGCTCCCTGTACCCCGGGTCCAGGAGGTCCACGGTCCAGTCCACACGCTGGTCCAGAGGTAGGTCCCTCTGGTCTACGGTCTGGTCTATGGTCTGATCTACGGTCTGATCTACGGTCTGATCTACGGTCTGATCTACGGTCTGATCTACGGTCTGGTCTACGGTTTGCTCTACGGTCTGGTCTACATTCTGATCTACGGTCTGGTCTATGGCCTGGTCTGGGGCTTGGTCTATGGCCTGGTCTTCTCCTTGGTCTAAAATCTTGTCTACATTTGGAGCAGGCTTCTCTGTGGAGTCACTGTGGACCTCAGGGACCATGGAGACTTCAGAGACCTCAGGGACCTCAGAGACCATAGGGACTTCAGAGACCTCAGGGACCTCAGAGACCATAGGGACTTCAGAGACCTCAGGGATCAGGTTATCTCGGTCTACGTCATCAGAGGACGTCTGTGATTGGCTGGTTCGGCTCGTTGCCGCTGTGACAACGGACTGAACTGTGGGCGGAGCTTTAGAACCTGAACAGAAAACCAAAACACAAAAGTGTGTTTGTGTGTCTGTGTGTGTGTGTCTCTCTCTGTGTGTGTGTGTCTGTGTGTCTCTCTGTGTGTGTGTGTCTGTGTGTCTCTCTCTCTCTCTCTGTGTGTGTGTGTGTGTGTCTGTGTGTCTCTGTGTGTGTGCCTGTGTGTGTGTCTGTGTCTCTCTCTGTGTGTGTGTCTGTGTCTCTCTCTGTGTGTGTCTCTGTGTGTACCTGTTTGTTGATATAAAAAGTCAAATACCAGAGATGTGAGGAGGTCTGTGAACTGGAGCCGCTGTGACGGTCGCCCTGGAGACAGAAGGAGGAGTGAGAGGAGGAGAGAGAGGGGAAGAGAGAGGAGAGAGTAGAGAGGAGGAGGCTCACCGTGAGGGAGGTCTGTGGTCTCTCACTCGGTTCATTCTCTGCAAAGAAACAGAATTTGAGGAAGATCGGTCATTATAAAAGTCTAAACAGAGGAGGAGTAGAGAGAGAAGCAGGACGTGAGTGGAGGAGGAGGTGAGTGGAGGAGGAGGTGAGAGGAGGAGGATGGACTTACCCTGTGGACCAGGCTCAGATGCTCCTCAGAGCTGCTGAAGTTCAGGGCGATGTTGGAGATGCACAGTGACTCAGTCTGACAGGCCTGGACCCAGGACTGGTACTCCGAGGTCCCAGGGATCCGATCCAAGAAGATCCGAAAAGCCTCCCACACCGCCTCCTGGCAAACTGACACCAGAACCAGGTCAGAGACTGAGACCAGGACCAGGTCAGGGACTGAGACCAGGACTAGGACCATAACCGGGTCAAGAACTAGAACCAAGTCCTTAATCTTCATTGAGCTAGCGGGTTAGCATTGAGTTAGCAGGTTAGCGTTGAGCTAGCGGGTTAGCATTGAGTTAGCAGGTTAGCGTTGAGTTAGCGGGTTAGCATTGAGTTAGCAGGTTAGCGTTGAGTTAGCGGGTTAGCATTGAGTCTGACCTCTCAGCTGGTAGTAGTTGCGGTGACTGGACAGGACGTCACCAAGACTTTCCTGGGGACAGATCCGGACTCCAGTGTGAAGGAAGACCGACCTCCTCCTTCGAGACTTGAGGACCTCCAGACCTGAGCCAGGACCAGGATCTGATCCAGGATCTGATCCAGGATCTGACCCAGGATCTGACCCAGGATCTGACCCAGGACCGGATCCTAGACCAGGAGACCTCAGAGATCCGGAGGACTGGTCTCTGGTCTCTCGCCGCAGAGAATCTGAAAGCAAGTAAGTAAGTAAGCTTCTAATAACAGCACATTTTAGAGACCAAGGTCACTAAAAGCACTTTACAATTTCAGATAGTGAGTTCAGATATTTTCCATTCTCTCCACACGGTGAAGCAAGACTCTGAATACACTGACATCAAACCTCAAACCAATCATTCACTCACTACATTCAGACCTATTGTACATGTTATAGTGGAAGGGGACACCGGAACACCCGGAGGAAACCTTTGCAGACACAGGGAGAACCTGCAAACTCCACTCAGAAAGGCCTGGAGGTGGAAGGAAACCCAGGACCTTTTTGATGTGAGGCACAAGCTTTAACCGCTGTCACTGTGGTCTTCCATCGTGTCGCCCCAAAAACAGACTCCAACGATGCTGTCTCTTGTTTTCTTGACGAGCCGTCTAGGTCTGTCCTTTACTGGTTATATCTTCAAAACCAGGACCAGAGAGAGAGAGAGTGAGAAACCAGAGAGAGAGAGAGAGAGTGAGAGACCAGAGAGTGAGACCAGAAAGTGAGAGACCAGAGAGTGAGAGACCAGAGAGTGACATACCAGAGAGTGAGACCAGAGAGTGAGAGTCCAAAGAGTGAGAGACCAGAGAGTGACAGACCAGAGAGTGAGACTAGAGAGTGAGAGTCCAGAGAGTGAGATACCAGAGAATGAGATACCAGAGAGTGAGACCAGAAAGTGAGAGACCAGAGAGTGAGAGACCAGAGAGTGAGAGACGGGGTGTTGTGTGGGTGTTTTGTTTTTGTTTGTTGGGTGGTGTGTGTGGTTGTTGTGTTGGGTTGGTGGTTTTGTTGGGGTTTGTTTGGTGTGTGTGGGGTGTTGTGGGGGTTGTTGGTTGGTTGGTGGTGTGTGTTTTGTGTGTTGGGGGTGGTTTGTGGTTTGGGTTGGGTTTGTGTGGTGGGGGGTGGGTTGTTTTTTTTGGTTATTTTTTGGGTTGGGTGTGTGTGTGGGGGTTTGGTGATGGTGGGGTATATTGTGTTTTTTGGGGTTGTGTTGATTGGGTGTTGATTAAGGGTTTGTGTTAGTATATTAGTTTGGTGGGGTTTGTGGGGTGTGTTGGGGAGGATTGAGGGTTTGAGAGTGATGTGGTGTGTTGGGGGGGGGGGGGGTATTGTGGGTTGGTGGTGGGTGTTGGTTGGGGTGGGTGGTGGGTGGGGTGTTGGTGTTGGGGGGGTGGTGGGGATGGGGGGGTTGGGTTTGGGGTGTGTTGTGGTGGGTGTGTAGTTGGGGGGGTTGGTGGTGGGTATGTTAGGGGGGGGTTGTTTGGGTGTGGTGTAGGTGGGGTGGTGGGGGGTTGTTGTGGTGGGGGTGGTTGTGGTTGGGTTTTGTGGTGGTGTGGGGGTTTTTTTTGGTTGTGGTGGGGGTGTTTGGGGGGGTTGGGTTGGTTTTTTTTTGGTTGGGGGGGGGGGGGGGGTGGGGGGTGGTTGTTTGGGGTTGTTGTGTTTGGGGTTTTTGGGGGGGGGTGGTTGTGGTGGTGGGGGGGGTGGGGTGGGGGTGTAGGTTTGGTGGGGTGGTTGGGTTGGGTGGGTTGTGTGGGTTGGGTGGTGGGTTTTGTGTTGTTGTGTGGTTTGTGGTGATTTTTTTTTTTTGTGGTGGTGGGTTGGGTGGGGGTGGGTGGTTGTGGGGTGGTTGTAGTAGGGGGGGGGGATTTGTTGTGGTGATGGTGGGGGGTGGTGGTGGGGGTTTGTGTGGGGGGGGGGGGGGGGGGGGGGGGTGGGGTTTAGTGGTGTTTGGTGTGTGAGGGGGGTGTTGGGGGGGGGGTGGGTGGTGTGTGTGTGGGGGTGGTGTGTTGTTGGGGTGGGGTGGGGTGTTTTGTGGGGTTTGTGGGGGGGGGGTGGGGGGGGGGGGGGGGGGGTTGGTGGGTGTTTGTGGGGGGGGGTGAGTTTGTTTTGGTGTTTTGTGTGTGTTGGTTTTGGGGGGTGTGTTTGGGGTTGGTTGGGTTTTAGGTGTATTTTTTATTGGTGGGGGGTGTTTGTTGTGGATGGTGTGTTGTGGTTTTGGGGTGGTGTGTTGGGTGTTTGGGTTAGAGTGGGGGGTTTGTTTTGTGTGGTAGGGTTTGTGTGGTTGTTTGGGTTGAGGGTTGGGGGTTGTGGGGTTGGTGGGGTTGGGTGTGGGGGTGGGGGTGGTGTTGGTGGTTTTGTTTTGTGTTTGTGTTTGGGTGTTGTGTTTTGTGGGGTTGGTTTTTTTTTGTGGGGGGATGTGGGGGGGGGGGTGGTGGTTTGGGGGGTTTGGGGGTGGGTGGTGTGGGGGTTGGGGTTTGTTGTGTGGTTGTGTGGGGGGGGTGGGGGTGGTTTGTGTGTTTGTTGGGTTGGTGGGGGTGGGGTGGTTGTGGTTGGTGGGGAGGTGGGGGGGATGGGGGGGTGAGGTAGTGGTTGGGATATGTGATTGATTTAGTTGGTGGGTGTGTGTGGTTGGAGTTTAGTTTTGGTTTGTTTGGAAGATGATAGGTAGTATGAAGATGAAGGAGTATGTAGATGGAAGGAATATAAGATGAAGTGAGTATGGATGAAGGGGGGAGTATGGAAATGATGGAGTATGGGAAGATTAATGAGTATAATATGAAGGAGTTATGAAGATGGAAGTGATATAAGATGAAGGTGAGTATAAGATGAAAGAGTATAAGAGTGAAGGAGTATAAGTATGGAAAGTAGTTTAAAAAAGATGAAGGTGATATAAGATGAAAGGGGGGGAGTTATAAGATGGAAGGGGGAGTATAAGATGGGAAAGGGAGTATTAAGATGAAGGGAGTTAAGATGAGGGTAAGATGAAGGTGAAGGGGGGGGTTGGGGGATGGAAAGGAGGTGGATGAAGAGGGATGTTGAATAGGAGGGGTTTGGGGTTATTAGAGAGTGTGGGGGTAGGTGTAATGTTTTTGGATGGAGAGGGGGGGAAATTATGTGTTGGGGAAGTTGAGTAATGGTTAATAAGGATGTATTGAAGAAGGAGTTGGATAGAATTTTGATATGATAGTATGTAAGATTGAGAGGTTGATTGATGGGGATATGTAATTGAAATTTTGTTTTAATTATTTTTTTGAGAGAGGATGAGTGTGTGGGTGTTTTGTGAGTGTGTGTGGGTGAAGAGAGAGTGATAGGAGAGAGAGGAAGTGTTATGGAGAGTATGGAGTAGAGTGTGGAGTTGAGTAGGAGAGTGTGGTGTGTGTGGTGTGAGAGTAGTGAGTGAGAGGAGTAAGGTATGTGTGTTGTGGATGAGAGTGGAGGATGGTGTGGTGTAGAGGTGTGTGTGGTGTGTAGTGTGGGTTGTGTGGGTGTAGTTGGTGATGAGTGAGATATGTGTGTAGTGGATTGTGATAGAGTGTTTGGAGTAGTGTAGTGTGTTGTGGATTGTGTGTGTGTGTGTGGTGTGTTGTGTGTGTGGTTGTGAGTGGTAGTGTTTGGTGTGTGTGTGGTGTGTGTGGTGTGTTTGTGTGTGTTGTTTGTGTGTGTGTGTTGTGTGGTTGTTTGTTTGATGTGGGTTGGGGTGTGGGGATGGTGTGTTTTGTGGGGTGGTGTATGGGTTGGTGGTGGGGTTGGTGTTGTTTTGGTTTGGTTTTTTGGTTGTGTGTGTTGGTGTTGTTGGGGGGTTTGGGTGGGGTGGGGTGGTTTGGGGGGTTTGGGTTGGTGGGGTTTGGGGTTGTTGGGTGTGGTGTTTGGGGGGGGGGGTTGGTGTGGGGGGTGTGGTTGGGGGAGTTGGGGTTTGTGAGGGGGGGTTGTGTTGGGGGTTTTGTAGGTTGGGGGGGTTTGGGGGGGGTTGGGGGGGGTGGGTTTTTGGGGGGTTGGGGGGGGGTTGTGGGTGTGTGGGGGGGGGTGTGGGTTATGTGTGTTGGTGTTTTTGTGTGGTTTGTTGTGTTTGTGTGTTAGTGTGTTGTTTGTTGTGTTTTGGTTTTTTAGGTTAGATTAGTGTTATAGGGGGGGGGGGGGTTTGGGATTGGGTATTTGGTTGGTGGGTTGAAATTGTTGTGGGGTGGGGGGGGTGGTAAGTGGGGGTTGTATTTTGAGGGTAGGTTGTTTGTTGTTTTAGTGGGTGTTGGGTGTGGGGGTGGGGGGGGGTTTGAGGGGGGTGGGAGGGGTGGTTGGTTGAATTTTGATTTGGGTTATGGTGGTGTTGTGTGGGGGGGTTGGTTGTGATATGTTTTTTTGTAGTATTTGTTTGGTTTTTTATGGGATTTGTGGGGGGGGGGGTGGGTGGTGTAGATTTGGTTTTGAGGGAGGTTTGAGGGTGAGGTTGGTTTTTGGGGTTGTTGTTGTGTTATTGTTTTGGGTATTTTTTGGTGAATATGTTGGTGGGGTAGTTTTTTTTGTTTGTGATGGTGGTGGGGGGTGGTGTATGTTGGGTGGGTATTTAGGGGTTGTAGAGTAGGAAGAATAGAGATATGGGTTTGTGTTTGTTTTGGGGATGGGTTTGTGTTTGTTGGATGGGGTGGTGGGAGGGAGGGGTTAGGAATGTGTTTGGTGTGTTAGTAGGTTGGTTGGTAGAGGGTGGTATTGTATTGATTGGTGGTGTGGGTGGGTGGGGTTTGTGTTGGTTTTTGGGTGGTGTGGTTGGTGTGGGTGGTTTTTGGGTGGGGGGTTTGTTGTGTGTGGGGTGGTAGGGGTGGGGTGGGGTGGGTGGGGGGGGGGTGTGTGGGGTTTTTTTTTGAGGGTGGTGGTTGTGGGGGTTGTTTTGGGGGTGTTATTAGATTGGTTGGGGGGTTTGGGTGATATGTGGTGAAGTATAGTTAGATTGTATTTGTAGGGATTGGTTTTTTTATATAGGAATTTGAGGGATTATGGGGTTGGGTTTGTGGGTGTTGTGTTTGTGGGGGTAGTGGGGGGTTTGTTTTTTTTTTGGTTTGGGTTTTTGGTTGGTGTGGGGGGGTTGGTTGTTGGGTTGAGGGTGTTTATTAGGTATGGAGGATGGGGTTGTGTATGATTGTTGTTTTTTGTTGGGGTGGTTGTGTGGGTTGGTGATTTGGTGGTGGGGATTAGGTGGATAGGGATTTATGTAGATGGGGGATGGATGAGAGGTTGAAGAGGTGTTAATGGAATGGGGGTTAGGTGGGGGTATGTGGTTTTTTGGTGTGTTGTTTTTATGAGTGTTTTTTTTTGGAGGGGTGGGGTTGGTTTGTGGTGTAGTGTGTATTGGGGTGTTATGGTGTTTGGGTGTGGTAGTTGTGTATGGGGGTTTTGGTGTAGGGTGGGGGGGGGTGATTGTTTTTGATTTGTTTTGAGGGTGGTTGGATTTGGGTGGTGTTGTTTGGTGGTGGTGGGGGGGGTGGTGGGTTTGGTGGGGGTTGTGGTGGTGGTGTGTGTTTTATTTGATTGTATGTAAATAAGGAATGTTATTTAAAATGTAAGATTTTATTGTGGAGTTGGTTGAGGTTGTGTATGGGGGGGGGTTGTGATGGGTGGTTTGAGAATTTTTTAGGAGAGTGGGGTTTTGTAGAGGGGAGGTGGAAGAAAAAGGATTTAAGTTATTTTATTGTTTTAGTATGATGTATAGAGTAGGGTGTGGTTATTGTTGATATGTGTGGGGTGGAGTTGTTGGGGTTTGATTGTTGTGGGTTGTGGTGTTTTGTGTGTTTGGGGGGGGGAGGGGGTGGGGGGGGTGGTGGGGGTGGGTGGTTTGGTGTATGGGTTTAGGTTTTGGGTTGTGGGGTGTGGGTTTGTGGTTGGTTGTTGGTTTGTTGGGGGGGTGTTTTTGGGGGTGGTGGGGGGGGGGGGTTGTTGGGGTGAGTGGGTGTTGGGGGGTGGTGGTGGGTGTGGGGTGGTTATGTTATGGGTTTGAGTGTATTGTTATAATGAAGGAGGGGTTATTTTATGGTTTTTTTGTTTTTATTTTTTTATTTGTAGAATGGTTATGTTTTTTGTTGGGAGTTAATTGGGAGTGAAGTTTATTTGGGTTTTTGTGTGAGTTGTGGTTTTGGGTGATTGGTGGGTTTTGTGGGGGTGGTTGTTGTGAGGAAGAGAATGGTATGGTTTGATTAGAGTTTGGGTTTTTGTTTGTTGTGTTGAAGTTGTTAGTGGGTGATGGGTGTTTGTTTTGTATTGTTGTTTAAGTGAATTGTATGTGTAAGGGGTGGGTGGGGTGGTGTGGTGGGGGGGGGGTTATGTTTTTTTGGGGGGGGTGGGGTGGTTGTTTTGTTTGTTGTATTATGGTGTAGGGTGGGTATGGTTTTTTTATGTGTAAGGTTATTGTTTTTTGGTGATGGAAATGGAGGTTGGTATTGGTAGGTTTATTAAGAGGGTTTGATAGTGGGGGGATGTGGGGGGTGGGTGTGTTGGGAGGGTTTAAAGGAGATGTGTGTTTTGGTGGGTTTGGGGTTGTAGGTTGTTGTTGTTTGTTATGTGGTATGTGTTTGTTGTTGTTGATGTTATGTTTGTGGTGTAGTTTTGGTATGGTTGTTTGGTGTGGGTGGGTGGGTTGGTTGTATTTTGTGGGGAGGTGTTTGGTTGGTGGTGGGGGGGGGTTGGGGGGTTGGGGGGGAGGGGTTGGGGGGGGATTGGTGGGGGATTTGGGGTGGGGGGTGGTGGTGTGTTTGGGTGTGTTTAGGTTTGTTTGTTTGTGGTTGTTGTGTAGGTGGGGTGGGGGGGTGGGTGGTGTGGGGGTGGGGGGGTGTTGTGGGTGTGTGGTTTTGTTTTGGTGTGGTGAGTTTGTTTTGGGGTTTTGTGTGGTGGTGATGGTTAGGATATTTTTTTTGGGGTTAGGGGGTTTTAAAGGGTTTGAGGAGATTTTTTGGGGTGGTGGGTTGTTGTTTTTTGTTATGTTTGGATAGAGATAAATTTTATTTGTTTTTGGATGAGGGTGGGTGTGTGTAAGGGTGTATTATTTGTATGTTTTTAGTATTTGGTTGTTGATGGGATGTTTTTGTTTTTAGGTTTGATGAGTTTATTGAGGTGTTGGGTTTGTGGATGGTGTAGGGGGTTGGGGTGGGTTGGGTGTTTGGTTGTTTGGGATTTTAGGTTTGGGTTTGAGTGTGGGTGTGTGTTGGGGGTTGTGGGGGGGGGAGGGTGTATGTGGTTGTTGGAGTGGTTTTGTGGTAGTGGTGTTGGTGTGTTGTGGTTTTGTGGGTTTGTGTTGGGGGGTAGGTTGTGGGGGTTGGGGGTTGGGGGTGTAGTGGATGGGGGTGTATTGTTGTTGTGGGTGGTTTGTTTTTGGGGTTGGGGGTGGGGTTGGTTGTTGGGGGTGTTTGGGGGTATGGGTGGTATTTTGGGTTGGGGGGTGGGTGTTTGGTGTGTTTGGGGGTTGGGGGTTTGTTGGGTTGGGGGTAGGGGTGGGTAGTGTGGTGGGGGGTTTTGTGTATGGGGTGTTTGTGTGTGTTGGGTGGTTGGTTGGTGTTGTGTGGGTGGTGTGTGGGTTTGTTTTTGTGTGTTTTTGGATGATGG